GTTCTTTTGGAATCCGCTGTCAGATTTATTATTGACCCCTAGTTAATGGAGGATTTATTTATTTATTTATTTTTGGATCTATCTTCATAACAGTTGAAGTTACATCAAATGGGCTGGTGCTGTACTGATTCACCTACAGTTTGGTCTTAGTTGGACATCTCTAGCCCTTTTTGATATTCCCCTTATTGTTCTGTGTTCTGGATCACCAGATCCGAATTCCAGATTGTATCATCATCTTGCTTCATGTTTTGATAACTCATGYGACAAGCCATGTTTCCATCAACGTTTTTTAATGGGCATTTTGAAGTATCACATTAGAAAAGGTGAATGTAAACGGCATGATTCGAAAAAATTCCTCTAATTTGTAAAAAAGTTTATACGCTCGCTTGAGGTGGTTTTTGAGCTTTTTGAAAAAGAGTTAATGCACAAAAGGAGTGATGGAAACACATTTTCCGAATAAGTTCTGATGTAGTGAACATTTACCTCACATGGTTGATCAGCTGTTCTCGCTCTCTGTCCAGTCCCGGTACCAGCTTTGGCTCAGCTGCAACCACGACTGCAGCTGGACCCTCCTCCTACTGTCGGTGTCTTCTCAGTTATTTCCATAACATGAAGAGAATCACATTTCTTTCTCTACGTCACCAGACAGCAGTAACATCGCCAAAACTAGTTGAAATCAGAATAATTACAACTTTAGTAGCAACATGTTCCTGATAACTTCTCTCCATTGTCCAGGGATGTGTAGTCCCAGTGAGTTTGCGACTTCTACTTCCTGTTTCCTACAAACATGCGTCTGACGTAATTACTCTTTGCGTAGCCTTAGCTCAAATAAAAAAACAATTCTGGATCTACATCATGATCCGGAACATCACCCAAATTTTAAAGTGTTCCTTTGGCTAAAACCCACTTGCGGTAAAAATTTCATGAAAATCCATCCATAGGTTTTTGAGTAATTTTGTCGACAAACAGACAGATAGACAGAATGACAGACATAAGCAACTAAAAACATTACCTCCTCCCTTTGCGGTGATAATGATTATCCCTTTAACACTGTTTATTTGTTGATAGATCAAACAGAATGAATAAAGCCTGGTTTATGAAGCCTTTAGTGATTCTTAAAATGTACTAGGTTAAGGCGTCCTCTGAAACTTCCCAACTCACAATCAGTAGTAAGACAGGTCGATGGGCTCACTTACCTGCATGTCAAATCACTGAGTTTATGAACTGATTGAGGATGCTCCATAGCAGGGATKTACCTATTTATTTATCTGTATTCATTCACCGGTTGTTTGTTTACACATCTTATCAGATTTAGAAAATGTACTAAATAAAATATACTCAAGTAAAAGTAGTTACTCTGTTGAAATTGTAAAGTTTCTTCAGAAAAATCTGAGTGAAAGTAAAAAGTAGTTCATTAAAAGTTGACTTTAAATAAAAGTTACCTTTTATAGAGCAGGAGGGTGTTTCTCCTACGTTGCACAGAGAATGAGGATTTTTTTCTTCTCAAACTTATATAAAACAGCCTCACAGATCTAGATCTCTATTTTCTACTGCCTGTAGTCAGGTTGCAAACGCAACAGGTCAGCATTCATTGACCCAGCAAATTTCTCCAGCACCTCCTGGATATTCTAATGAAAACKAGGGTATTTCATCCCTCCAACAAGATCTGTGTCTACTTTGATGACTTTTCACAGTGGGACATGTCAAGACAASCACCCATTTATCCATAGTTGGGTCTCAGAGGCAGCAGGTCCAGGGGAGAAACCCAGAAATCCCTCTCTCCAGAGGAACTTTCCGGCTCGTCCTGGGGGACCCCGAGGTGCTCTTGGGCTAGAGAGAATACTTACATAGTCCCTCCAGTGAGTCCTGTAGGTCTTCCCCGGGACCTCCTGCCAGTGGGAAGTGTCCAGAACACCTCTAAAGGGATGCGTCTGAGAGGCATCCTAATCTGATGGACCACATCAACTGACTCCTTTCGATGTGGAAGAGCAGCGGCTCTACTCCGAGCTCCTCCCGGATGACAGAGCTCTTCACCCTGTTTCTAAGGCTGAGCCCGGCCACCCTACGAAGGAAGCTCATTTTGGCCACTCAAATAGGATTTTGTTCTTTCAGTCATGATTCATACCTCATGACCAGTGGTAGGGGTTGAAACGTAGACAGACATGTAAATCCAGAGCTTTACATTTTGACTCAGCTCTTTCTTCACGACCGACCAAAGCAACACCCTCATTAATGAGGATGAGGCCCCAATCCAACTCCTCCACATGAGATAGTCTCTCCCCTGACCTGGTCCTTGCGACTTTCAACCTGCRTTAATAATACGCTTTAATTTGGTAAACATGCCTTTGTAATGTCTCCCTATAGTGTTCTGGGCATGTTCAACTGGGAGGAGACCCCGTGGAAGACCCAGGACACCCTGGACAAACTATGTCTCTTAGCAGACCTTGAAACTCATTGGAATCCTCCCAGAAGATCTGGAAGATTTGAATAAGATGTCTGGACCTCTCTGCTCAAGCTTCTTCCCCCATGACTCAACTTCAGAATAAGCAGGAAAATTTTCATCTCCGTAAATTTTTTTCCACAGTAAAACTGTAAATTTAATTTTGAAACTACATTTAAAAAGAAGACCCTAAGAGTAGATGGAAAGTTTTTATAGTTTTATACTGACTGTAGAAATATTAGAGGGTTTATCGCTGGACAATATTTTGTCAAGGTTCTTATAGAAACATTTATTTTTCTCCTTTTCCAGCCTGAAAACTGTCCCTGCCAGAGCATTCCGACCTCTGCGGTCTCTGGAGATGCTGGTTCTTGACAACAACCTCCTAACTTCACTGAGTCAGAGAGCTTTGGATGGTCTGAGCAACCTGCAGGTAATATACTTACCCATTGCCAAGAAGCTGGCACTGATGACACATTCTAATGAAACATTCAGAAAATAAATCATTGGATGTCTAAACAATGTGTGACATCTTCAGATTTCACAAGATTACACTTACTGTTGTTTTAAAGGACTGACCAAAGCAAGGCTGTCATTTTTCATTATAGCATGATCTCAGTTTCAAACTCTGACATGAAAGGTCGTGGGTGATGTGCATTCCTTAAAAAAGCCAGGAATTTTTATTTAGTACATTTTTGTAAACATAATACAGTCAGAGAAATAACCAACAAACTTAAGGGATATTTGGGCCACTTTGAAGTGTTTTTTTGTGTAAAAGTTGTGAACTATTATTTTCTTGTTGTTAGTAGTTCTTTGAAGTTTATGTCTACAAAAATAACCAGCTAACAGTTAGTTTGAAAACAGCCAAGACCAAAGTGGGTTGTGGCTGACTTTAAATAACTAACTTTCAAAAATGCTTCATGGAGAAACTATTTCACAGATTTTAAAATGAGGTTAAAATTGAAAGGAGACATTTTTCTTCTGTATATTTTATGGCACGTATCTTGTTCACTGTTGGTGCTATTTCAACAATTTACGTATCATTATGTTCAGCTCCTTCATAACATACTGGACATGAGTTTTGGTTACCTCAGCAATTTATATTTTTTGGGATATTTAGCTTTTGATCATTTTTGCTCTTTTTGCAAGTTAACTGAGCTGTCTTCTAGTGTTGTAGTCAAGACCACCTAACCTGAGACCAAGTCAGACAAGACCAAGATTTTTAGGGTTTGGACCAAGTCAAGACCAAGTCCAAGGGAGGACGAGACCGAGACAAGACCAAGACCAGATAAAAAATGTGTTCTAAAAGATGGAGTATTGTGTACACATGTACAGTGGGGGGGAGAAGTATTTAGTATCTAATAGTTGAGGTCTAACTATGATGTCAATCACAGGCCTCTCTCATCTTTTTAAGTGGGAGAACTTGAACAGTTGGTGCTGACTAAATACTGTTTCTCCCCACTGTAGCTAACTTAATATGTAGAGCTAATATTGACAAAATATTTGTGTGAGGGCAGAGGAAAGAATTTTGCTACAGAGGAAGTTTAAGAGTGACGGTAAAAGTTTAAAGTTGTCCCCATTGTCTCTGAAAGTGAAGCACCGCTGAATGTACAAGTTGCTGTATGCTTTCTCCTGGTTGTTGTTTTACAATATTATTTATGAATAATGTAGCCAAAATTTTTACTTAACATTTTGAAGACATCCTTTACCGCTCCCAGAGAAACATGGTTCACTTTCCAGGAGTGCTGTGTGCAAGTGACGGGGTGTGCAGGATGGGTGACAGCCGGTAACAAAAACACATAAATAGTAGGGGTGTAAGAAAATATCGACACACTGAAATATCACAATATTTCATTTCCCGATACTGTATCGATATTATAAAGCCCTGTATTGATTTTTTTGTTAAGGTTTAAAATGTCAACTTTCCTGCCAGCCATTCATTTTTATGTTATAGTTCAGCCTCTGACCACTAGKTGGCAGCAGTGAGCCAGACATTTGGATCCTCTACCTCTTGAGCACCAGAGAGTAAGGGTAGCATTAGCATTGTGAGTAAACATTAGCTTCATGCTCTGATAGCTAAATCTGAGCAGAAAAGACAGACACCCTCTGCCTTCTAAGCTGAGGTAAGGTTASCAACAGTTACTTATTTGTCAGAATGTCTGGATTTTGAGACAAATTAAGTGTCTCGTGCACTCTTTTTGCCAACTGTAGTCAGCTTTCATGTTACGCATATAGCGCATGCGTCTATCACCTCGAGTTCAGCACTCCCCCCGTGACATAAAACTCTTGTCTGTTGCTCTCAATGATGTCCGGCTGATCACATATAAGTCCATATACTTTAAGTTTATCCTGCTGTGTTCACTTCAAAAAAAGTTTGAGTGTTGTTTAGCTTCTCCATTTATTTACAGTTTATTTTCAGGACCTGCCCTGCTGTTCAACCCACAGTTATACAAATCATGTTCTGGATGCAGGTCAGCTGATCCCAGAAAATCTGTGTGCAGCAGCTTCATATCATCTGTTTACTGAAGTTTTATGACAACATAAAGGCTATTGTTAAAGGTATCATACCATGCTTTTTGACAAGGATGGGATATTGTTCAACAAAGCATCAGAGATGAATGACCAGACCAAGACAACAATAAAAAGGTAAGTGCAGTTTTATTTAAGGTGGAGTTTGGTTTTGGACATCAGCTGAAAAGGGAGAAAGTAGAAGGTGAGTATTGGTTCTTGGAAGTGTAATTTTTTGTAGACATTTTCTTGTTAATAAGTGATTTTTTCTTACAGATTTTCCAGAGGCGAAGAGTTCCAAAGGAGGAGGTTTTCAAAGGCAGGTGGCAGTTCTTCAGGCAGAGTGGCTGTGAGTGTTCCGTGGTGAGGTTCTTTGTTTTCTGACCCAACTTGGAGTGAGGACTTCTTAGCATGAGGYGTGGCTTCTGTGATCTTGGTAATCMACCYTGGACAAAGGATGAATGAGGCAAGTACAAAAATATATTCTTTAACATAGAATCTAGGAGCTAGATACTACCATAAAGGTTAGATGCATCAGCGTGGATCAACTGATGAAGGAGGCTTATAAAGCTGTAGCTGATCATGAGACAAATCCCCAACAGGTGTGTGTAATCAGGGTCAGGTCACCAATCACCACACAGGAACACAGGTAGAACTGATTCTTCACAGTACCCTCCTCTTAAGAATCCCCTCCAGGTGATCTAGGTCGCTTCTCTGGATGAGCTCTGTAAAAGTCAGAGATAAGGGAGGGGTCCAAAATAAAGGAGCGAGGGATCCAGGATCGTTCCTCTGGTCCATAACCCTCCCAATCGACCAGATACTGGAACCCTCTTCCTCTTCTCCGAACGTCAAGGATGCGATTCACCGTGTAGACAGGGTTGTTATCAACAAGATGGGTGGGAGGTGGGAGGTCGGCAGGTGGGCAAAGTGTGCTCTCAACAACATGCTTGATCTGGGAAACATGAAATGTAGGGTGAATGTGCAGGGATCTGGGTAGGGTTAAACGTACCGAGGATGCATTGATTATGCGTTCAATTGGGTATGGCCCAATGAACCGTGGAGACATCTTCCTGCCGAGGTCTTTTAGTTGGATATCCTTAATGGAGAGCCAGACCTTTTGACTGACTTGGTAATCCGGAGCCGTGGAACGATGTCGATCTGCTATCCTTTTGTTTTGTTCCGCAGTCCTTAGGAGAGTAGCCTTTGTCTGTTGCCAGATCCTTCTACATCTGCGGAAATGGAACTGCACAGATGGGACAAAACATTCAGATTTCATCAAGGGGAACAGAGGTGGATTGTAACCCAGAGCAGCTTCGAAGGGAGATAAACCAGTGGCGGTAGAGGTCTGGGTGTTATGGGCATACTCTACTCAACAGAGATGTTGTGACCAACTGGAAGGGTTTTTGTAGGATAAACAGCGAAGTGTGGCCTCCAGCTCCTGATTACAACGCTCTGTTTGACCATTTGACTGTGGATGGTAACCTGAAGAGAGACTGACATTGGCACCCAAAGAGTTACAAAAAGCTTTCCACACTTGAGAGATAAACTGCKGTCCTYRGTCAGAAACTATGTCCAGGGGAATACCATGAATGCAAACAACATTGGTAACCAGTAGTTGTGCAGTTTCGAGAGCAGTAGGGAGTTTAGGTAGAGCTATGAAATGTGCCATTTTGTAAAAACGGTCTATGATGGTGAGTATGGTAGTGTTACCTTGAGATGGAGGTAGACCGGTGACAAAATCAAGGGCGATGTGTGACCAAGGTCATCCGGGAATGGGTAAGGGTTTCAGTAGACCAGCAGGGGCTTGATGTGAAGACTTGTTGTGAGCACAGATGGTACATGAGGCCACATACTCTTTAACCTCTTTAATGAGAGTGGGCCACCAAAAATATCTTGCAGCCAGGGAGATCATACGGTTTGAACCAAGGTGACAAGAGTGATTATTATGCAACCATTCCAATACTTTACTTTTGATGGCCGTGGGGACGAAGAGACGGTCAGGAGGGCCTCCACCAGGGTCCGGTTCAGTTCTTTGGGCCTCTTGAACCAGTTGTTGTATGGGCCAGGTGAGAGCTCCTACAAAACAGGTGGATGGTAGGATGTTGTCCACCTTAGGGGTCTGACCATCTGTGGAAAACTGTCAAGAGAGTGCATCAGGTTTTACATTACGAGAGCCAGGTCGGTAGGTTATAGTAAAGTTGAATCTAGTGAAAAACAAAGACCATCGTGCTTGGCGAGGGTTTAATCTCTTAGCTGTCTGTAAATAAGCCAGATTTTTGTGGTCAGTCCAGATAATGAATGGTAACAGTTCCTTCTAACCAGTGTCGCCATTCTTCAAGTGCAAGTTTGATTGCCAGCAGTTCCAGGTTTCCCACGTCATAGTTGCATTCTGAAGGAGAAAGTCTACGGGAAAAGTAAGCGCAGGGGTGCATCTTCTTGTCAGACAGAGATCTTTGTGATAACACTGCTCCGACACCTGTGTCAGAGGCGTCGATCTCCACAATGAACTGCTCAGTTGGAACTGGGTGATGTAATATGGGAGCAGAAATAAATCTTTTCTTTAACTCACCAATTGCAGATTCAGCTTGTGAGTTCCACTCAAAGGTCTTAAGAGTTGAGGTGAGTTGGGTTAATGGTGCGGCTACACGACTGTAGTCTTTGATGAAGCACCGATAAAAGTTGGCGAAGCCTAGGAGGCGCTGGAGTTGACGTCGAGCCGTAGGGGTGGGCTACTCTGCCACTGCCTTGACTTTGTGAGGGTCTGTCTGAAAATAGCCTTGTCCAAAAATGAAACCCAAAAATGACACTGAAGGAACATGAAACTCACATTTCTCGGCCTTTACGAAGAGTTGGTTCTCATGGAGTCTCTGGAGTACAGCTTGAACATGTTGAATGTGTTGGGTCGGGTCCTTTGAGTAGATGAGAATGTCAACCAGGTAGACAAAGACGAAAATGTTCAGAAAATCATGTAGCACGTCATTAATGAGGGATTGGAAAACTGCTGGGGCATTGGTGAGCCCAAAAGGCATCACCAGATATTCATAATGTCCCAAAGGTGTCTTAAAAGCAGTCTTCCACTCGTCCCCCTCTTTAATCCTTACCAAATGATATGCATTACATAAATCTAGTTTTGAGAAAATGGAGGCTGAGTGGAGTTGTTGATGAACTGAATCAGTTAGCGGTAAAGGATACTTATTTTTAACAGTTAAAATTTTACCCCCGATTTAACCCCCGATAGTCAATGCAAGGTCTCAGACTTTTGTCTTTTTTCTCTACAAAAAAGAAACCAGCACCTAAGGGGGAGGTGGAAGAACGAATGATACCGGATGCTAAGGACTCTTCAATGTAATTTTTCATGGACTCAGTTTCAGGTGCAGAGAGGTTGTAGAGGCGACTAGATAGAAGGGGGCACCAGATAATAACTCTATGGAACAGTCATAGGGCCTGTGAGGAGGCAGAGACAAAGCCTGAGTCTTGCTAAAAACATGAGCCAAATCATGGTATTCTCTTGGTACAGAAGAGAGGTCAATGTCTTYAGTGGGTTGAGACTTAGTAGTGGGTGAGACAGCAGAGGTTAAGCAGTTATTTAAACAATAACTACTCCACTTATCTACCCTCTTTTGTGACCAGTTTATCACGGGGTTATGTTTAGTTAGCCAAGGATAACCTAAAATCAGTTGTGGTGTGGGTGAGGAGAAGACAAAAAACTCACCAAACCCTCGATGATTACCAGAGATGAGCACCTGTACATTCCTTGCCTTTTGAGAAATCTTGGTTATATTGTCACCAGTAATACCTGTGACCGGGATAGGAGGGTTGCGATTCTCTACAGGTAACTCCAAAAAATCCACAAGATCAGATGAGATCAAATTTTGTTCAGCTCCTGAGTCTATTAATGCATGAATGGGAACCTTCTTCTGGTGAATGTGTGTGGAATGTAATGTTAGTCTTTGAGAATGTTGTACCTGAGGTGGAGCAGCGACAGGCGTTGACGGGGCAGGTGGAGGTAGGACAGAATTAAGTTTGGAATCCATAGCAGCCATTTGATTACTTATTCTTTCAAGCATGTTGTCCGCTGTTGTCGCTGCCTATCAATCTCCTGCTCTCCAGTGAGAGCTGGAGATCATGATCTGATGAAGCCAATAGGACCACATCTGCAAAAAGCAGAGATGCAATCCTAGTCACCAAAACGGATCCCCTCAACACCTTAGAAATTCTGTCTATAGAAGTTATGAACAGAATTGGTGACAAATGGCAACCTCAGTGGAGTCCGTCACCAGAAACGAGTCTGACTTACTACCTGCAATGC